GAGCCGCAGTGGCTGCACCTGACTGGGAGGGAGCACGATTGGAGGTGGAGCAGGTGGATTCAAGGGACTGTGCCCCCATCCCCATCTCTGCCGGGGTCTGAGGGCCCAGCGCGCCGGGCGAGGCCTGGTCCTGCTCCGTGCCTTGGTTTATCCTTCTGTGAAACGGGGAGAAAAGCTGGAAGTTTCTCTAGTGCAAGGGACTGGCTGTGACATTGCTGGGGGGCCTATAGCTTTAGCCCAAGCCCTGATCTTTGTTGTTTTGGGCCCTAGCTGGGAGCGAGCAAGAGGGAGGGAGCTGTGACGTGGCGTGTGAGGCCCTGGGTAGTGGCCACCGCCCAGGAAGTGGTTACAGTTGTGTCTGCAGGGCACCGTGGCCCCACCCCGGGGAGCAGAGCCCCACACCGCCCTCCAGGGTCCCCGGGGAGCCCGGTGGAGCAGAGCAGGCAGGGTGGGGGCACCGGTGGGGGGCTCCCTGGGTGCTGATGTAGACGGCAGCGGTGAGTCCCTGTGTGTGTCGGGGGGCGTGCGGGGCAGGAGGTGTTTGTGCCAGGGTGGGTGATGTTGAAACCCGCCGGCTGGGAAGGGAAGTGATCTGACCACAATGGGTGGCAACAGCAGCCCCTTGCGCCTGGGGAGCAAGAAGGGTAGGAGAAGAAAGCGAAGTAGCTTGATCCATACCTCAGTTTCCCCAAGTGACTTGTTGTCTCCGTCTCCTCCCCGCCCCCCAAGTCGCACAGGGCTGGGCATGCAACCCAGGAGTCCGGGCTTCTTTCCCCAGGCTGAATCATGCTCCCGCCCCGGGACAAGGGGACTGCATTCAAAAGCACTGCTAGTTTCCCCTGTTAGCAAGGTCGGGGGGGAAAGTCCAGCCTTGGCCAGACCCTGGGTCTCTGCCATCCTGCCTTCTGTTGTGACTACCCCCTACCAGTACCAGAAGCTGAGTACCAGTCCCCGGGGGGTGGGTGGGTTCCTTCCTGACCCCAGCAGCCTGTGCCCTGAAGCATGAGATCTGGTTGCCCAACGCAGCCTCTGGACCCCAGCCAGTGAGTCATCCCTGACACAGCCGTCTGGGTCCTCTGTGTTCCCCCAGTCATCAGCCTGGAGCTCACGGGGGAAGGAGGGAGGATTTCCAGCCTGGCTGAGCAATGGGTTTCCTGCTTCCTGAAGGGTCAAAGCCCTTGTATCTCGGGCAAGCTGGGCACCCCCCTGCCCTGGGGATGGTCTGGGAGCAGGGTCTGGCTGGGATGGGACGTGCATATCCTACTTGAGTGTCTCCTTCTTTGGCAGGCAGCAGCGCTGAGCGCCCCCGTGCACAGCCCCATCCTCAGGCACCGTTTGGGCCCGTACCACCCCTGCCCATGGAGTGACAGAGCCGAGCCTGCACTGACGCTGCCTTGGGGTTGCAGCCCCAGACCCACCGCTTTGCTGACACCACCGGGACCAGATCAACCCCGAGGGGGAAGCTGGACGGGACAGTGAACATGAGTGACTTCTGGCACAAGCTGGGCTGCTGCGTCGTAGATAAACCACAGCCGGTGAGTGGCGTTGCCCACAAGGCGGGGGCACGGGGCCTGGCTTTACCCGCACCTGGGATTTGCTGTCTCCGGGCTCATTCTCCGCCCAGGAGCTGTGGCCTGCTGGGGTGCTGCCAGACTCTTTTAAGGGTGCTGCAGCTGCTCATAGGGATGCAGAACCCTATGCCCGATGCCTCATCAGGGCAAGTGTCCTGGTCCTGTCCTGCCAGTTCGGCCCGTTGTTGCAGTTAATGTGGCATCCTGTGGATTTCTAGTTGTGTCCATCCGCCACAATGTGGCCACTCTGAGCCTTTCTAGATAGAGCAGGATATCATCATCATCATCATCACCTAGATGATGATGATGATGATAATGACAATTATGGACAAAACTAAATAATAATATTAATTGGACTAATAATAGTAATAATTGTAATAATGATGGTGATAATGGTATTTAAAAATAAATATTAATGACAATAATGACGATGATGATAGTAATGGGTGCTAAGGTGCACAGTTGACAGCCCAGAGGTCGCAAGTTCAAGGCCATAATTGAAGTGCTCCCAGCCGGCCTGGCAGAGTCCAGTGAATCTGTGAATTCTGCTAAATACTGTGTCACAAGGACACGAGAAGGAAGGAAGGATAATGGTGATGACATGAGGTATACATCTAAATTATAGTTTCATAGTTGGTAGGGTCGGAAGGGACCTGAGCAGATCATCAATAATAATATAGTATAATAATAATTAGTATAATAATACTAATTGTGCCAAGGTGGGGAGGTTCCTTCCTGACCTCACTGAAGATGGCCCTGAAGCCTGCGGGTGGGGGCGGCCATGAGCTAAGGCCCCCAGAGGTTCCTATTGGCTCCCCTGGGCCGCGTCCTCTGGATCACATTTGGGCAGCCTGGAGACCTCGGTCCTGATGAGCCCCTGCCAGTGGGATGGTGGAGCAGGCGGGGGAGGGAGACAGCTCTGCTTGGCAGGCCCCTGTCCCAGAGCCATGCTGCCAACCAGACCCCTGCCAGGATGAAGGGGGAAGCCCCCCGGCTGCTCCAAGCCCCAAATAGAAGAGCTGGGGGTAGGGGCAGGGGACACGGGGCAGCTCTACCAGGAGCAGGGGACACTGAGGTGCTTGCTCTGTCAGAGCAGGAGGTGAACCCAGGTGTCCTGCCCCACATCCTCCCCTCCCCGTGCTTGTACCCGCTCCATGGTGGCTCTGCTCTCCTTCCC